TGATTTTTCTACTGTGATGGACAGTGTCTTAGCAACCTCATTCACCAGCTCCTTCAGGGCCCACGGATGGATTTCATCAGGTCCCATGGACTTGTGCACATTCAGGTTCTTAAGATGGTCTCAAACCAGATCCTCTCCTACAGTGGGCCCAAGGTCTTCATTCTCACAGTCCCTGTGTCTGCCTTCAAAGACTTGGGTGGTGTGGTCAGAGCATTTGCCAGTGAAGACTGGGGCAAAGAAGTCATTAAGAACCTCAGCCTTCTCCAAATCCAGGGTAGCCAGTTCTCCTGATAGCTTCCGGAGAGGGCCCACATTGTCCTTAGTCTGTCTTTTACTTGCTATGTACCTATAGAACCCCTTCCTGTTACCTTTAACATCCCTAGCCAATTTTAATTGTGTTTAATTCTAACATCCCTAGCCAAGTTTAATTCTAAATCCAATTTTAATTCTAATACCCCTAGCCATTTTTAATTCTAACTTTCCTCCTCCTTCTCTCTCTCATTTCATGCTGAGACAAAGGAGATGGGAAGTAATTTTGCACAATGAAGCAGTAACTGCTTCAGGTCTCTAAGGCATCCAAGTGAGTACAAAATTACTTCAGTGGAAGGTGGTGGACAGAAGAGCAACTATGCTAGAAGCCCAAAGGGAGAATACAGATAATAGATAACACAACAGATAATAGTAACATGGAATACAATCCATAATACAAATAATGCAAGTTGCTATAAATTCACCTCCATCAGAAACTGTTCTTGTTTTCGAGAAAGAAAACTACATTTGCCATAGAGTTCTCTTTTATTTTGCAGTGAATTCATGTCTTAGTATTTGGGTCTTCTCTGTGTTTTTGTTTCGCATGTCCAGGTGTGAGAATAACCTATGTAATGGTAACATTCACAGGTGGCAGATGATGCATTACATAGCTTAAAACTGTTGATCCCACCAGAAGTGATAAATGCAATGAATCATCAGTGTTATGTCACCATGACAATGAATTGTGCATGAAAATATGATACCAGATACCAAGCACAAACTCAGGAAGTGGCTGCCAAGCCCGAAGTTGTGAAAATGGTCCTTGCCTCAAATATGATTTCCAGTACAAGGCTTCTGGTCACTCTGAAATGCAAGAACTTCATGTTGCAGTTATTTGTTGCAGTTCAGCTTTTGACAGCAACTTGGCATACATGGGAGGAAAACACAAGCTGTTGTCATGTAACTGGAGAAGAATTTTGTTTTTCCTGTGTCTGCTGTGGTCATGAAAATAAGGGAGAAGTAAAATACCATAAGGATTGAAATACAAGCTCCTTGTAATAGAGGCAGTGGAATAAAAGTATTTGATTGATGCATAACATCATCAGATGAAGGCAGAGGGTTCAACATGTTCTTTAGCACACTCATCTATCTGTGTCAACACTGAGTCAAAAGTATGACATATATTGCCATATTCAGAACCCTCACAAGTAAAGCAAATGGAAGGACGGCCTAGTGTCTAGAAAGCAGGTGTGACCTTCTATCCTTTGATTAGGGGTGAGTATGCTAAAAAGATAAAACAGTTCTACTGCAAAGGAGTCAAAATTGGTATAATTTGTTTTGCCTTTAGTGAATTTATTTCTCTTCTATTGTCAATAACTACTTTAGCTAGCCCTTTTGTGAACCTACAGAACTAAAGTAATGTTTCAGCTTACAGTTCAAGTCCCTATTAAAAACCAAAAAAGTATTTTTTTTTCTTCAGGAATTTAAAAATATTTTGGAGGATGAGTAGAAAGGAAAGTAAGAAAACAGTCTAAAAATCTTTTTACGAAAACTTACCGTTTTTAACACGTTGTGACCTGTTTTTTAGTCTATGAGTTCAGCAAACCCTATTGTCCAAGTGTTGTTTTAATGAAAAAGTTGATGCTAACTTGTGCATAATAGATCTATCAAGGCACTCCTTGGGCAGTTGAGAGGACTGAGCATGTACCAACAGCTTAATACCTGCACACTCTTCCAGGCTTACTACTGCATCAGCTGTGACTTTGCCTTACAGTGCACAGAAGCTGTGGCAGTGTTTGCCATGACAGACCCTGTCAGATCTCTCTGCCTCAACAATCACTGAATCTCCAGCTTTGCGCATGAGCTGAGTGACTGCAGAGTACAACTCCAGGGCTAGAAAGGTGGGGATGAAGGAACACCCTGGCACTTCTATTCTAAAAGCAGTATACATGACAAGGAAAACAAAAATATATGTGGTTCTGAAAACAGAGCCAGTGCAGTACTTCGCATTGAGGACCAGACACATTTAAGCAGGAAGCCATTTATACTACCGAGCAAAAGGTTTTCCATCTTCTTTCTTTCAGAAGGTATGTGAGGGGAAAAGAAAGAATATTAACAGCATCTGAAACGTATAAAAGCTGTTAGATGTTATTCATCTGGCCCACTTACATCTCTACCTACTTCCCATGAGAAGCAAATGCAACAAGAAAACCTCCTGCCATTTACTTCGCTTTGCTTTCTCAGTGACCAAGCTACACCACTTCCAATTTTACAGTTTTCTGAAATTAAGGTAGAAAAGGAGTTAATTTCCCTCAATATGAATTGTAGCATTGTGCTTTTATTTGTGTACTGTGTGAAAGTTATTCCAGGTGCTTTCCATGTCAATTTTTACTAGACAGGGAATCCAGTAAAAGCGGAAAGGTGCTTCCACCTTTAACATGGATTTCTACGTAAGTTAACAAAAGATTTCCTCCTCTTTTTTTTTGGTAAAGATTTTGGAAGGTTACATACGTTAACAATTTACCCAGAAACCTTTTCTTCATATAGTAATGTGCTGAGATTACCAGGAAAAATCCCGATCTTGAAAAATGCAGTAAATTTATACAGAGAAAGATAACAATAAAAAAATTACTCTGGGTAGAAACAAATTCAAATCATAACTAAAGTAACAGAATCAATTTCAGCAGAGGCAGAGGCATGAACTGACAGTCATAAAGCAATTTTAATCTAATGATAATTGCATTTATTCTTGAAACTCAGTGGGAAATTAAAAATATTTTGAAATTACCTGGATCTGATAAAACAAAACCTGCAGCTAAGAATTTGTTTTCCATCATTCAAAACAATATACTCATATGGCTTACAGTTACTGACTAAAAAAGAGTCAGCTTTAATTTTTAACAGAAATGTTGGGTCTTCTTAGTTCATTTTTACTCTCCAGGTGAACACTCACCTGTAAATAATGAGTTCTTGAAAAATAAATCAAACTGGGTCACTGCAAAGTCATCAGGGACTCTGGGGATTGGTAACATGATACTGTGTCTTTTACATCTAAACTGCCAGTTTAAATCCAGTCTAGGTCAGCAGTGACTAAAGCCTACTGCTAGATGTTTCTTGTCATGCATAATGAGTTGGTAGACTTACTGCACTTTGCAGTGAAAAAATAACATTTATATATGGTCTTATGAAACTGTCACTGAAGACAGAATGGCTTCTGCAAAATAAACTATCCCGTATTACAGAATCATAGATGGTTGATTGGAAGGGACCTCTTGTAGGTGACTTTGTACAACCCCTCTGCACAAAGAGGGACACCTACAGTCAGCTGCACAGGACCATGTCCAGGTGGATTCTGAGTATCCCCAAGAAGGAAGACTCCAAAACCTTTTTGGGCAACCTGTGCCAGGGCTCAGTCACCCCCATAGAAAGAAGTTTCCTCATGTTCACAGGGAACCTCTTGTGCTCCAGTTTGTGCCCATTGCCTCTCATCCTGTCACTGGGCGCTGGGCACAGTGAAAAGAACCTCTGCCTTCTCTGCACCCTCCCTTCAGATAGTAATTCAAATTGGTAAGGTGCCTTTGAGCCTTCTCATGGCTAACAGTCCCAGTTTTCTCAGCCTCCCTTTGTATGTCTTATTCTCCTGTCATTTAATCATCTTAGTGGTCCCTTGCTGGATTCTCTCCAGTATGTCCACGTCTCTCTTCTACTTGGAAGTCAATCACTGGACAAAGCACTCCAAATATATACCAGCAGTGCTGAGCAGAGAGCATGAATCACCCTGGCAACACTCCTAATGTCCAAGATACTTTTAACCTTTGCCACAGGAGCGCACTGTTGGCTCATGTTCACTCTGGTGTCAACCAGGACCACCAGGTTGTTTTCTGCATAGCTGCTTCAGACACTAGTCTTGCCAATACGTTTCTCTAAGGTCAATGTGATCTCTCTGAGAAATACAGGTCTTCCCTTCAGATGGGGCAAATGTCTGAAGCTACTGAAAATAAGCAAAGCTGACTTATTTCATTGTAGGGCTAATATATACAAATGCACACCAGACAAACTTATAGATCACTTTTCAACTGAGCTAGAAAAATCTGAAGCAAATAACATACTGCAAGGCAGTGTAAAGAGATGCGATGAAGACACAAACAGAGAAATACACTGTTCAGATAACATGAAATGCTCTGTTTACAAATCGGGTCCTAAGCTTCCATGTTTTCTACTCAATATATGTTCAAATCTAAGAAGTTCTGATTTTCTGGAGTAGCAACATTAACTGTAGATATGTAGTTCAAATGTTTATACTACCACATCTTAGTGCATCACAACCCTGATACCTCAAGATAATACTTAAACTGATTTATAGGTGGGCTGACTGCCTCCATAAGTAATGGTATTCATGCCCACTGAGGCCTACATACATTTCCTGAAAGAAAAAGAAATGTTTATTTTACTGCTTAATCACTTCTATTGTAATTAGGTAAGGAACTACACATTTGTTTCAAGGTATTATTTTACTACTTCCATTTTGCTGTTGTTATTTTAACATGTAGTACGTCTCTTCTCTTGTCTCTGCCAAATATATGCTATTTGAACGAGTTATTTTACAATCAGGACAGACCACAGTGGACCTCTCTACAGGAGACATTCCTGCCCTGCCATCCTTACTATAAAAAGATTTTTGTGAACTCCTAATACTAGACCACGACTACAGAAACAAATTATCTCTTTATTAGGAAAGCACCAACACCACATTCTTCAAAATTACTGGAATTTTATTTGCCTCAGGCTTATGACTTGCAACCAAAGACATTGTGCAAAGAAAGCAAAGATTAAGTACACTTTAGGGAAAGGTGATAATCCACATTGGTAACATAGAAGATCAGTCTGATGAAAGAAGCCATCCATTACACTATATAGATTGCAATATTCAATAGCATTTTTTTTAACCCAACTTTTTTAATCAAGGAGAAAAAGTTAAGCAAAGTTTACAGTAGGCATAATTTTGATACAATTCAAAAAGCGTTTTTCTGAAGATCATCAAGCATAAAGTGTAAAAATGCACATCGGACAAAGTAGATGAAGGCTAACTACTGTACATTTATAAGCTATTAAACAAAGTTGCATATATGTACCACAGTGTAAAAATCCAATACAGAACAAATAAAAACTTTGAAAACTGCCTGATGAAAAATAAAATAACCAGTGGCTTTTAATGGCTTTTCCTGGTTATCAATGCTACAAAACTTTTTTTTTTCTTTCCAATGCCACTGAAAAACATTCTATCAAATGATAAAACCAGGCACAATCAAACCATTACCAAGTTAAAACCAGCCCATAGAAATATACTATCAACCCACATTTTCCATCAAAAGGTTTTTTGCTGTTCTTTTGTTCTTAAATCTTTTGCGGCCCATTTGGTCACAGTATGTTACATTTTTTGCTTTTTTACACCATGATATCATATGTTTGTCTGGCACTATCCTAAAGCTAATTTATAGAGAGTAAGGATACAGAAACAACCCAATGTCTATTTGACAAACTGTATTTACTGGGTGTAAAATAGGAGAAGGGAGAAGAAAAGGGGAAGGGGTCAGTTCTGCCAAGAAAATAAACCCTATGGATCACTCATCATCACTTCCGCTTGCTTCCGACTGGTCCTAGAGGTAAGAGACACAAGACAAGTCAGAAATTCTTTGCCAGCTATGCTGTGCAATTTGTTAAAGAAGGAAAAAAAAATGAAAAAAAAAGAAAGGAAAAAAGAAAGTAACAGGAAGAAAAATTACAATTAAACTGTCAAATCAAGATAGCCTTAAGAAAGGTATGATGTTATATAACATTTCTTTTTCATGACATTTCATTAAATTGCTGTCGACTTCTTTAGAGAAGGGAAGACACAGAGTCAGGAAACACCAGATCTTTCTTTCTATGCAGACATTTAACAACTTGGAAGAGCTCTGTTTTCATTTGTTGCAATAGTAGAAGCACCCACCAAAGGAAAAAAAAAAATGTCAAGCCATCAGTTTTTCATCTGTGGACAAAAGCAAACAGACCGTGAGGTTTAAAGATTCAATGAAAGTAGATCAGCTCCAAGAAATGAGCTCTGAATTTCTTTGACTTCTTGTCTTTCAGCATTTTGACCAGATCTCATAAGCACACCCAGGTACATTTAACACCCCTGCCTAATTTTCTCACGATGATCACTACAGATTAAACATTTGTTTAAGCATGAATAGTTAAGAACTCTTACAGCAAGTGGGACAGGGTAGAGACACAATCACTGTAACCACTTCCACAGTCTCAGTGATCAAAACTTACATTTTCATCTTGATCCTCATCACTATCATCATCACTCACAACAGGCTTGGCTTTGGCTCGGCTTTGCCTCTTCTTGCCTTTTCCCTTCTCCCGAGTTTTTTCCTCCTTCTTATTTAACTTGATTTTGACTTTCACAGATTTTGCTGCAAATATTTTAAAAGACTACATTTAACTTTTCACTTTTAAATGCTGTCTCTGTTTACAGAAATTCACCCTTGGTAGCAGCCTGATACTTCCTTCTGTCCTTTAACTGCACTCTGGAACAATGAAGAAGAGGTATTTGATTTTATTTCTCTACTTCTGTAAATTTTTAAAAATCATTTGTATCAAACTATAAAGAGTAACTTTAAGTTGACCATGTGCATTCTTTTCACTCTCAGAATGCACATTGTCTACAGGTCCTGTGAGAAGATACACATCTAAAAATATTTTCTTCCTTGCACATAGAAATATTTATCCTTTGTACAAACAGACATTTTATTTAAACTACAGAAATGCTATGCAGAGGTGACTGATTGGCAAAACATGAGTTGCATGCTTCACAGACCTGTGTGACATATTTGGAAGGGTAGCTCAGGGCCAAATATTACAGTTTCTGTAATCAGACAGCTAGGGGAGCTGGACTATATGGGCAGATCTATTGGGTGGCAGAAAATGGAATGAAGGGATCCCTCATTTTCCATTGTATCATGTTTGCTAGTCTCCAGTGACTGACAGAGCGTCACCTCCTGCTTCTGAAACAATACAAGTTTCAATTAGGCCTCGTCAAACTGAAGAACATTTGCAACACCTTCTGGTTCTTAACCAGTTAGTGAGTTTTCTAGGTCACACCATGCCTGAACGATGACCACCCATGGATAAAGCCTGTTTCAAATTTCACCAGGAACTTCTATTTACAAATAACATGAAGAGGACCAGAAGGGTTTATACTCATGTTCAGTCAAATCAGCTTCTAAAAAGCACGCCTGTGATTTGTTTCTGGCTTAAAAATAGTTAACTGTACTCTAAGGGGTACAGGCAGAACATACAGCCAAAAACTTAAAATGACTGTTAACACCCAAAGTAGCAAACTTAGTAAGTTACTCTTGCCAACAGAAAATAGAACCTTATAATCAGTCTCCATGCAGAAACTGTGGAAAACCTCCCCTTCCATCCCTAGACGTACTTTTATCTCAGTATTGAGGAGGGGACTCACATTCTGATTCTGATTCTTCGTCTTCTTCTTCTTCTTCATCATCGTTACTTTCATCCTCACTTTCTTCTTCTTTGGCAATCTTCTGTCGTGCACTTTTGAACACAGACTGAAGAACAATAGAATCCTCATAGATCTATGGTATGAATACAAATCTATGTCAGAATTGTAAAGTCAAGAAGTATCAAAAATTTACAGCACAGACCTTCATTTCCAATGCAAACTCAGAGAGTACACAGCCTTGTTGCATGAATTTTACAAGAAATGCCAACATTAAATTTTCATGCTTTAAATTAAGAAATTTGTCAATAGTGAGCACAAAAAATCAGGTTTTAAAATGTATTACATATGAAATGTCCAGTTAGTGTTTTTCTGATAATTTTTACTGCCACAGGAACTATTGTGTGTTTTTATTAGATCATCACAGTCTTTAAAAACTGCCAAAGCAACAGACTTCAGCAGAAAGCACCCTAATTTAAAAATGGGTCTTAGTCTAGTGATACAGTTGATGACAGTGGCTAATTATCTACAGTTATTTTCTGAAAACCAAAGTGGCCACAAGGAATATAATATATCCCAAGCAGCTCATTCCTTCCTTCTCTCACACAGACAAAGTACTTGTTCTAATTTTAGCACGTTTTCAAACATTCTGTAGCTTGCCATGTATCTCTGGTACCTCAGATTTTCTCTTTAAACTCAAGCAGGAAGGGACTCAACGGTGAGAGAACTACATTTGACTTGTAACACACTTTTCGGATTAACATGGTAAAAATCTTGCTGCCATGCTGAGTATCTGGTCCTTGCAAATGAGCTTGCACATTTTGTTGTGTAAAATGTCAGGAGCCAAGCCGTGGACAATTTAGCACTGAACAATTAAGAATAGTTAATAGAAGGGTATAGAGTCACAGAATCGCAGAATGGTTTGGACTGGAAGGGACCTTAAAGCTCATCCAGTTCCAACCTCCTGCCACGGGCAAGGACACCTTCCACTAGACCAGGCTGCTCCAAGCCCCATCCAGCCTGGCCTTGAACGCTGCCAGGGATGAGGGAGCCACAGCTTCTCTGGGCAACCTGTGCCAGTGTCTCACCATCCTCTCAGTGAAGAATTCCTTCCTAATACCTAACCTAAATCTCCTCTCTTTCAGTTTAAAGCCATTCTCACTTTTCCTGTCACTACATGTCCTTGTAAAAAGCCCCTCTATAGGTTTCTTGTAGGCTCCCTTTAGGCAGCACTGGAAGCTGCTCCAAAGTCTCCCCAGGAGCCGTCTCTCCTCCAGGCTGAACAAGCCCAACTCTCAGCCTGTCTTCACGGCAGAGGTGCTCCAGTCCTTTGAGCATCTTTGAGGTCTCTTCTGTACTTACTCGAGTATCTTCACATCCTTCTTGTGTAGGGAACACCAGAGCTGGATGCAGAACTGCAGGTGGGGTCTCATGAGAGCAGAGTAGAGGGGTAGAATCCCCTCCCTCAACCTGCTGGTCATGCTCCTTTTGAGGCAATCTCATCTACCAACACCTCCAAGCCCTTCTCCTCAGAGCTTCTCTCAATCCATTTTCCACCCAGCCTTTAGCTGTGCTTGGGATTGCCCTGAACCACATGCAAGATCTTTCTTGCACTTGGCCTTGCTAGACTTCATGACCATCATCACTTGAACCACCTTGGCTTTCATACTAGTCCTTTGCCTATTATTACATATTTCCTTGTATAAAAGGACACTGGGTATTTTTGAGAAAGGTAATAGAAGTTTTTTGGCTGCCATTATACAATCTGTACGTTAAAACTGCTCTAATGCTCTGCAGGTTCAACAAAATTAATTAAACTTTTTTTTTTAAAAAACTTCACATGAAATATGCAATCTCTCTTCACTTGACCACTATGTCTCACTGCAGGCTGTTCCCCATTCTGTAAGTACTGCTGTACATTTTGTTGTGAGATGTTTGACTGCTCTTGACCATAATAAAATTTCTTGACATATATGATCATGAATGTTTTGAAAAGTTTTTTCTCCTATTGTCTTACGACATTAGTGGGCTGTGAGACCCTACAGCTTCCTTCCTCTAAGTCAAGAGATCGATTTTTAATTATGCCCACTTCTTTTCAAGTCAGCTATTGACAGAAGCCCCTCAGTTCCTCATGAGGATCATTTATTTTTCTTACACACAGGCTTAACATATTTCATTGTTCCTAGGAATGGCTCTTTCAACTAACCTTTCTCTCCTTTCCCAGAACAAACACTTTTCTAAGACAAAAAAGAATTAAGGACACATGCTACATTTCATTTTTTAATGCCGGTCACTACATATTTGAAGTTTCACTGTGACCCAGACTTTTAAACAGGATTTCCTAGGGAAATAAAGAGGTTTTAAAAATTATTTAAACTTAATGTGGAATTGTTTGCAATATTCAGTATCTATTACAATCCAGAAAAAACCTGGCACTGTTTCAGGAAAAGCTATGCAAATAAAAGTTTTCTTATTTTGACCAAAATCCAATTCCAGCAGGTTTCAAAAAAATAAGTAGCAATGACAGTTAAACTTCCTTAAAACTGGAGAAGCAACGACAACAAGAGCTTCACAAGAAATGACAGCCTTAATAGCAAATCTTCTGTTTCAATAGACACGTAATATTTTTAACCCCTTACATGTCTGTGTTTCATTTGACCATTATAACATGAAGAGCGTTTCAAATAATTGAGGTTGCACTCAACACTGAAGTTGAGGACAAAATCCTCAAAATGCAGTCTCTCTCCCTGAAACCCCTCGTAAGTTTCCAGCTCAGATGGAACTGCTCTGTGCCAAAGAAAAGCAGCATGCATCATGCTAGCAGAACAACTCAAGTTTTACTTGAGGTCACTGTGTACTTAAACAACTGCCTGAATTAGCCTGTTGTTTTTGGGTGTGCATGCAAATCTAGTTTACTGATGTGAACTGGTATATCAGAGGAAAGCTGGACACGAACTATTGCAAAGTACATGAAGTAGCCTTAAATAATTGACTGCTGTAGAAGTGTCCTACAATTCTCTGGAAAACAAAATGAATGGCATGAGAACTTACTAGAAATAAACCTTAAAATGATACTTATGAGTTATCTGGGCTTCATGCTATAAATAAGTAATGCAAGCTCTGGTAATTAATGTTTGTACACTGGAATAGAAAATAGTACTGCAACACTCTCATATAAATTGGGTTATTTCCAAACAGAACAGCAGTATCTACTCAATGTTTCTACCCACTCAGGATTATTCCTGTCAATTCTACCACCTCTGCTTAACAAGAGTCCAGTTTCCCATTAGCAACTTGAGTCATTCTCATGAGGCTAATTTCATTATTATTCCCATTTAGCTACTACTTTGATTTTTATCTCTTCTACCAACTTTTACCATTCTCTAAAGTCTCTGTGACAGTTTTTGGTAGTACTAGCTTTCCTTCTTTTTTTTTTTATTAAGTGATTATCATTAGACGTTTTTATCTGTTTTACTGACATGGGACTAAGCAGTAAACTGCAATTTACACTTGGACAGGTAGCAAATTTTTGTCCCACACTTCCTACCATTATTAATTTCCATACTAAAGTATTTTTTAGCTGCTTTATAGGTTGTTTCCATATAACTGAAGACAGTAAAAATACTGCATACATTACAGAAAACATTTTATGTCTCTAGATAGCAAAAATAATCACAAAATGATGAGCTCTATTTAAGAATCCTTAATAACTAATTGCATTCTTATTTTAATTTTTAATTCTTCAATTTTATTATAAACTCTCCAGATCAGCTAAGGGTCATCAGTCATGTTTAGGAATTTGAATGATGCATTAGTATTGGCAGCATCAGCCTTCGGCTTACTTTTACTTAGGCTTCTTCTAAGAAATTCTTCCTCTCACACATTAGAGGAGTTGACTTCATGTTCTCTGTTTCAATTTAATACTGTGTTTGCATCACACGATTTGGACTTCATCTATGAAAACAACCATCCAACACTATGTTTCATGGTATTGTGACAACTTTCTTATCTGTCATCCAGATTTTGTAGTCAGTCCTTCCTTTTCTGCCAGTGTCCTGTTCCAAATTCACAGCACTAAGTACATTCTTGTCTGTAATACATCTGCTTGCGACGAGATATCTTGTCTCCTAAACCTCTTTAGTAGTTTATTCTACTGTCTCTTAAAATCGACACCTCTACACACACAGCCTTTTACCATAGACTGAAACAGTCTTAACTGCAGCTCTAACTACACAGATAAGAAAAAAAGAGATCTCTGAATCAGAATCAAGTAATTTTCACTGCATGCACACAGCTGTATCAAGTGAATTCTGGATGATTCCAGGAATCGGGTCATTTTTCTCTACTCAAAATAAGAATTAAAACACAGGATTTATATACAGAATATAAAAATCCACAAGCACTGAAAACATTAGGTAGGGAAAACCTGTATGTTTAACACAAAGTGGTTCATTCAGACCTGTGATCCCTCCAAATTGAATGTCTGAGCATTGTGGCACAGCAACATGACATCTTTCTCCAAGTCTCCAAGACTTCGATATTTATGATTGCGAATTCTTTCCTGTTGCATTTGTGAAGGAAATGAAGAGAAGTATGGAAGGGCAGTGCAGAAAGTGGTGCAGAAAGAAAAACAACAGACAGGATACTAAATCAGTATTTGATTTCAACACATTAAAAGCTTTCTCTTTAAAAAAACAACAAACAACAAAGAAAACCAAAACAAAACCCCAAGCATCAAGACAAGTACTTGTTTAAAACAAATAAATAAAGTCTTAAAATGTATTGTTAATATACTACTCAAGAAAATATACAGGATAATAGAGTAAAAAATTAAGCAATTGCTGTATAAACTAGAAGGTAGAGAAGCAACAGAAATGGAGCTCCTGTGGTATAAGGAGTTACAGTTTCTTCTTTTCAGCACAGAAACAAAATAAGCTGTGACATGAATCAAAATCACAGTTAAAACATTACCTAATATGCAACAAGTTGCATAAAACCAATCTGACAAACTGCATTTGGATCTGACTTAGCTATTCCAAGACGTGATGCTAGTTTAGGGATGACTAAATTCCCCTAAAACCATTAAAACTTTTCAAACAGTGCGTTTTTATCGAAGATGTACTTCACAGATTTGTAATAAGGTATTTGAAAAAAAGACGCTGAGATGTCATTTCTGGAGGGTCATTCATGTCACATGGCTTCATTTTAATTTGGTTTTGAAATTATAGTGATATACTGCAATATACACTAAATAAAATTCCTAACAAGGTGTGTTACAATGTTTAAAATCTAAGCCACAAATACAGGTAAATGCAATATTCACATTCTTGTAGTTTTAATGCAACTTCACAGTCACCCTTTTATATAACATAGAAATGGATGAATCTCCACTTCCAAAAAAGGTTACCTTTATTTTTTTGAAGTCGACTGGTTTCCTAATCAATTCATAATACTCTGGTAGTTCTTTCCTAGAAGGGAGCTGAATGAAGACTTCACTTAGCTGACGTCCTGAACTGTTGAGACAAACAAACCCATAATGTAAAGAATTACTAGAAGTTTCTTACAAAACACACACCCTTTGTGCTGTTGAACTAATTTATTACCATCATAGGATCCTATGGGTAGAAGGCTTTATATAAGCAGGATCAGGACTTCAATCTGAATTCCACAGTAGTTCACTGAGTAGAGAGTCTTGCATTTTTCAGTTTGTTCTAGTCTCAGCTAATTTTTAGCAAGTATCCCTCCTGTCACTGTAAGTTTATCTTCCTGGTCATTTTATAGTCGTTTTGTACTCTTCGGTCATAGCAAACCATTTGTTCTTACTGATTTCCACTATACCAGACCCTGATTGTTATCAGACTTAACCAGATGTTACCACAACAACAACAAACATAGTAACTTTCATTAACTGACTGCTAGGTTTCTGCAAAGATCCCTGTAACTGTATTGAAAATCATACTGCCATTTGTACTTTTCCAGTCATCTGAAATAAAGTGATGGGTTATCTAAAAGCCTTTCATACTCTAGGAACATTGCCTATCGCTTACAGGTGTTCAGAATTTCTAAGATTTCCAGATTTCCCATTGTTCATCCCTTACAGCTATTTCTACAGTTCCAAATCGGGTTTTGGGGGCTTTTGTAGATCTTCTTATTTGTGGCTTCCCAAATAATACATGGCTATAAGTCAACCTGGAGAGGCAATGTGTTGATGGCACTTCCAGGTTTTCTTTTTTTTATCCTATGTGTATGTAATTTTTTTCACAAAATAGCAGAAAAAAGCTCTCCTGAGAAGAACTAATTCATGGCACATAGCATTCACAACCAATTCCCAGCCCACATTCACATGATTCCTGTTCCCACAGATACTCAAAAAAGCTTTCTCTGTTTCCCTATTTTCTCATTTGCATCTTCAGATGGTAACTTCCTGGTCTCCACCTGAGCTCGTCCCATGCCGTTACCCTCCATAGTCATATGTGATCTTACCAGACACATTAAACTAATACTGCATCGAAGGTTAACTGAGGCAGCTCTGTCATGGAGGGTAAGGATGATAAAAAGCATGGAACTGCTCTGCCTTTTATGAGAGTCGTTGAGTACCTACTATATGTTAAGCATTTCTTGATGTCTGATACAGCATCAGAGTTTGAGCAGACACTATTCTTCTTATGGACCTGAACCAATGAACAAGAATAAACAGAATTTCCTCACTTCCTACATTTTCAAGTAGCTGTTGATCATCTAATCTAAGATTTCTTACTGTTTTCCGTTTTGTCCTGGGACACTGCTGTTCTTCATATGCCCTGCATCAGAGGACAGTAACGTAAACTTTCTGACTGCAGCTTGCTAATCAGTGCTGTCCAACCAACAGCCTGGGTGCCAACTGGCAGCTAGAGTATTATTCCACCCAATGCAAACCTAAGCCTCTGTCTTGTCCTGACAACTGTCTGACTTGCAGCAGCAGAAGCCATTCCCTTTGCCTGCTTAGCAGTAACTGCCAGGCTGCCTCCTAGATTACAGCAAGATCGTGGCACATGTATGTACACACTTGTGGGTGTTGCCCCTGCATGGTGAGAGCACTGCACATCTCTGTCAGAGAAGATGAGAGTGACCTACTCCATCAAGCTGTTCGCTTAGATACCCTGAAGACCACCTGCACCTCATACTCGAGGTAGTTACTATCGATTTCATCCAACAGAACCAATTTATTTGGGAAGCACCCTGAAATAGAGGAAGTAATAAAATGACCAGATAATTGTCATTCCAAGACTTACTATTTCTTTCGTGTCAGCAAGTAATTGTGGAACTCAGGCCACTGCACCTCCCATCTTCTTTGGTACTGAGTCACACCAAAAAGGTTAATTACTTTCATATTTCCCCTGCCGAAGTGGGAGGTGTGCATACTATGGGTTTAAACCCACCAACCTTGTTAATGATCTATGTGAGTGACTACTTCATGCCATCTGACAGAACTTGTCTTCATCTCAGACTCTCAAAGACAAACTGAAAGCAACGTAAGGAAAAGCAATGTGACCGACTAAATCAACATGTGTTTCTAGTTCTTTGCAAATCAAGGACTGTATTTTTTTTTTTTGTTAATCCAAAGAAGTTTTGAACCCTCACAGCTGAAACTGAGATCAATTAAATTTGTTCTGAACCTACAGAACTCTAAGTACTCTGTGAAATCAGACCTCTAGTGTCCAAAAGGGGTACTCCTTATTCCTCATTTGTAAAGTAAGGATAAAATGTGAAAAAAGTTCTGTATCTGCACAATATTAAGACTCCTTCTGAGCATTACAGAGAAGCCCAGGGGGAATTCAGCCATTCATTCATTATGTGATCAGCATTCACCTTGTACACATGCAAGGCACTGGTCCTCTGGAAAAGCAACAAAAAGTAAGGTAGCACCCTGTCATGCAATTACACACTATACTGTAACAAACCTTCCTGAGGGAATTGCATTAAGCCTTTTGTTTGTTTTATCCTATTGATCTGTGTGCTTGATTTCACAAACTTAAGTTATTTTAACAAATCTGTGCAATATACTGACATAAGATACAGATGTAAGCTAATCCTTTGAAAAGTGTGATAACTTACTTTCCAAAATTTGTGCTGGATTTGCTAGGCAGAAGGATTGACGTATCACTGCTGTGTTTTAAACTTCAGCAGCTTCCCTTTAACGGAAGAATCTGTTTGAGAAAAATTACTAAACCACTGCTGCTGGTATTGCTTTAACTATGCTTCAGAGCCTAAATACAAACAGAATGATTTAAATACAAAAAAAATACTCTAATTTTGATCAAATTTTAAAACATATTCAGCATATTTGTCCTATTAAAAAAGCTCCTGATGATTATAGAGCTTTTTATCTAATGGCTATGTAATTTTTTGCCCTTTTTCATATACCACCCACCCTTATGTTGCATTTTATATTAAAAATATATCAGCAGTAAATTATTAAACAGCAATATCCTATTTTCAAGATGGAAAACTAGCCAACTGTGATTTGTTCACAGATTCTTTTAAACTAAGAACATCACAGAAAACCTTCAAGCTTTTGCTTGATACAATTAATTATCAAGAATCATTTAAGGCTGTGAAAGAAAAAGCATTAAGGGCATGAAATATTCAACAGACAGAAGACTACAGCCTGGTTTTGTCTACTCAGATCAATAACAGCTTATTCTGTCCTATCATTTTTATAGAAACTCCTCTCACAAAGAAATATTATCTTCTGCTCCCTTTGTATATGTGCATCTATACTGTAACGTGAACTTTTCCCACATAATCTCAAATGGTTGTGTCTTGAATACAACAGGGGAAATTTGGCAATTATTAATGCAACTCTGATTTTAATCCCCATCTCCACTTTTGTAATTAGAAAATAATAACCACAACAACTACCACATAAAAATCATGCGCAGTAAAAATCACTTAACGGTTGCCTAGCAACTAGGAGGCTATGTGCTGAAGGGAAGAAGGACCAGAATAAATTAAGAGACCCAACTGTGAAAGAACTGCTGAGTGACAGTTCATTGCTACTGCATCAGCTCCACATGCTAGTCCTAGGCGTGCACACATGAAAAATTCTTGCATGTTGTGTGAGTTAATATTCATACAAAAATACTGCTAGTTTTCAAGACATTCTTGCTTAGAAAAGTATTTGTGCTCAGTATTTCTGATTTTATGTCATTTTTGTCAAACTGCTTACACCCATTTAATCAGTATTACCTTCAGTGGAATTAAGTGCAGGAACAATTAGACCTCATTTGTACAAGGGTCCTTTTATGTTTGTTTTCCCTGGCAGTATGTGGCCAGAAGCAAGCTGCCACTGACCAGTCAAAAGCATTACTGCTATTGACACCCCTTCTCCTTTGGATTGGAAGACGAGACAACTATGAAGCTGAAACTGCAAGACTTTCTCACATTTCTGGCAAATTTGACACTTCTAACAAATACTGAAATTCAGTTTAGAGTGGGTGGAATGGAGAGTCCTGCCCTAGTCAGAGCACTCACAATCAGAACCATGGTGTGCAAATTACAACTCCTAATCAAATATAACTCACAAGGACGCTCCTTAAACAAAAGCGTATGCATGGGAGGAGAACTAGAAGAGCTCACAGAACAAGGTGGTTCCTTGGTATTTAACAACTTCCAACACTAACACAGCTATGTAGGGAGTTGAGTCATTTTCATCAAATGTATTTAATAGTTCTTTCTTTTTTGGAATTGACTGCAATAATACATGGTGGACCTGTCCCTATCATTGAAATGAAGTGGGTCAAAATACTTAAAAATATAATTCCTGGTTTTGACATAAGGCTGTGTATTCCATTACTCTGGTTTGGCTATAAATAAGAATTATTTGCTTTGTGTATTTGAATACTCAAGAGTACCACTTGGCATAATTAATTACTAGTTAGATTAGCAATGGCTAATTACATCACTCACCATTTTACAACAGTTAAAATCTGGCAATTCGAGAAACATGGGGAAGCAGTCTGAATAAAATCCACTTAATATAACGAAAAAAGAAATTCTCTCACTGAGCTATGTTCTGTAAGAATACTATGGCCACAAATGTAAACATTTTGGCTTTAATGCTGCAGTGATTAAAATACTAGGCACCACAGAGAGGGGAAGTCTCTTGCTAAGCAGGAAACACAGACAGGGCACAACAATCACAACCTTTAATTTTCTTATCATCTTTATTAAAATGTGGTCGATGGCCACGTGCTACGGGGAGCAGGCTTTGTGAAGTTCGCCAATACACCATGCATGTCCTTACTTTAAGTCTCACAAACAGCAGAGAAAGGCTGGTTATAAATGAAAATCACTGTATATACTAAAGCTACCAGCACCCTGGGACTCTTGAACTCAGCTGTGACTATCTAAACAAAGGTAATGCAAACTAGCAGTAGCATCAAACTGGCACCTAGACAGGAACTGTCAAACTCAACATAATGCCAAAGAGGACAGTGTACTGTAGGGAAGATGAAGGATTACAAGGTATGAAGTATCATTCCTTTTCTCCACTTAATTTCAACAATCAGAGAAGGGAAGCTACACTTACAGCTTGTATTCCTCTAAAGTAAGAAATAAAGGTAAAGCTTCAAAAGAGAACAAAGATAGTTTGGGGGACTAAGTCTGCATGTGCATGATGCAAAATCAACAGCTGGGGCTCAAATTTGGCATACAAGTTCCTTATTACGAAAAGAACACTGAACTCTAGTAAAATTGCCACCATTTCCAAATTGATACAAACAAAACTGACATACAAACTCATTTTGCTTTCTCATAATATAACATACATATTACACATATGATTCTGCAATTATCCATTTCTATGGGCATTCCTAACTTTAGAGGAAAGGAAAGACAGGTTAAATGCATCAGAACTGGAAAAAAATTGTGACAATAATGCTGGACTGATGCATTTCAACTTACTCTCTTGTAAACAGGGGTTGCACACTGCAAGATTACAACAAAGTACAAGGCTGCAAAGGGACCTGCTATGGGTGAGCAGAGACATCTTCTACTCACTCCATCAGGTGATCAGATGCCAGAGGATTCTGACCACCTTTTCTACCTTACTTTTGCTTCATTACAGATTTATTCTCCATTCTAAGACATTACAGGTGAAACCTAGATCAACTCAGCTTCACCTATGACGGTGAAGCAGTGTAGGAGAAAAAAAAAGGCTCTGCATCTGTAGTACTGCTCTGTATCTACAACTGGCAATATGTTTTACAGTATGATATTTAAAGCTGAGTAGTAAGAGCACAGGTGCAGTTTTAAAAAGGTAGCACTGAATTCAGTAAGCATTTTTACTTCATAATGATTTGAGGTGCATACCCCACAAATCTTCAAATTGAGGTACATCTATTTGGTTGTAGGTAAACAGAGATAAACACAAAGATATGATAAAAAAATGTCTATCAACATGAAGAAAAGCTTAAAGCACATCACCCAATACTGTCATCTGAAGCAGTCTGCAAGAAGCAAGTATTGTCATCTTGACAAGGACCTCAACTGCTCTCACACCAAAGGCATCCAAACAGTTGAACATTTTCACAGTGCTCATATCCATTTTTACTACATCCTTTATTTCAAGGGGAACACCTCAGGTATCAGAATTCCAAGAAACTAATGCAGTTAGGCTGCCAGTCAAGTCAAATTTCAGCATAAATACTTAAGGTTTATCTCCTTTGGTGTGCTCCTAGTTCTCTAGAAAGAACTTTGGTTCTGTACAGCTTGTAGCTATAAATTGGTCTGTAAGAATTATTAAATTTATTGTTAATGGAATGTTGCATTAAAATCAGTACCATGTTCAGATGTGGGAATGAGAAAAAAGGGAAATAGTAGAGTTCCTATACAGTATGGCATAAAAGAGGAAAATCTGAACAAAATCTTGAATAAAAAGCATGTCCTTTGCACTGAGGACATGACAGAAATAAACAGTAATTTGACTTCACCCTAACTTCACTGTCTTGCATGGAGTTCTTTACTGGCATTTGCAAGTAGCTGGCTATCTACCTCTGAAGTTCCTTTACAAAGAATTATATGCTCCATTTCTCTAAACTGAACATTTACCTCAAATTTTGCTAATTTGTCTGTTTAATCTTATTTGACATTTATACAATAACTGTGTAGATCAAACTTGAGTTTACTAGAGCTTATTCCTTGTATTATTGTATCCTCTAGCTTTCCAAGACACAGGCAACCCAGCCTATTTTGTTGGATGCTTTTTAAATAAGGAAGGAAAAGATTGTACTTGTCCCCAAATGCCTACAAGGGAAGATACTAATGAAGGCATATATATGGCCAGTCCTTTCCTGTGACAACATCATAACTGGAACTCTAGATTTTTGTGGGGGTCATGGAAAAATGTTTCTTTTAAAAAAGAAAGGTTTTAATCAGAGCACAGAAATGATTCTGCATTTACAAGGAGCTCTTCTCCAAAGCCAGGGGAAGCATGAGAGAAAGCACACAGAGATTCTCGCAAATGTTAACAATGCATTCCCTTATTTTTTTTTTTTTTTTTTTTTTTTTGGCTGCTGGCTTTTTAACTGCAACAAAACTTACAAAAGACTGAAGAATTGGTTTTAACAAAGCTATGCAAGACAAAGTCAGTAAGATTTTGCATGGGTATTCCCTGATTACCTTCTGGGACAAAATCAGCTCTCTGTGGCCTGGATCAGCCCTCTGGACTTTCATAAAACAGAGATTAAACATCCATTAGCACTGAAAATCTAAGCTAATGACAAAGATGATTTCAAGCATTCAAGTACTAAATACATGAAAAACTTTTTTTTTTTTTTCCTTTTTCCCAGATGAAGCTTATGGCCTACTTTCTTTCAATAAACCTGTCCCTTTATACTTGCCCCAATTGTCTTCACACACACAAAAGCCCAGAGCTGAACAAACATGAAACCCCAACAAAGCTGAGGGGTTCCAATGCTTAAAACCCACTTAATCCTAAAGCTGAAAATCATTCAAAATGCTCATCAAACTCCAGAACAAACTTAACCCCATAGCTTTTATGATATTAAAGTTTCCTGATGTCTAAATTTGCAATTCTGTTACATCCCAGTTTTCATAGGATTGGGTGGTTTGATGCAAGCTCAGAAAAAAAAAAAAAAAATCAGAATACAGACGCTTGGAACTCTTCTGTATAGCTCATCACACTGGAGAACTCAGTTTAACAGTCATTGTTAATTTCTAACAGAACAGAGCTTCATACACTTCTTAGAGTGGGAACTAATTCTGTCTTGCGTAAATGTGGGCTCCCGGGTGAGGCAACAGGATACTTTATCACTAAGTAATAGCACAGTTGTTAACTTTGACACAGCTTAGGTATGAACTTCCTGGGGCGCAAGTGAGAGGCAAAAATCTTCCAACTTCTCCAGTAATTATCAGTAGCTAAACTCTACTAGAAGAAGTAACTTTGCTTGCTATTTTAGAAAGGAGAAGTAGGCACCATGATCAGAAATGCTTGGCTTCAGGAGAAATATTAAGGCTAGGGATACAAAATGAAGAGATGATTCCTTGCAGCCCTGACTAAAATACGTGAACTTAAACACTGTTTCCTTCTCAGCTATTCTGTTAGTCCAGATTCACAGCAAGCTGTGTACACTGAGTTTGTAGTCAGTTTCTTGCTCATCCTATCTGCTTCTGTGAATACTGTTCTGATGCAATAAACTTTTTGATGTACTCTATAGACAGGCCAAAGATCACAGAATGCTTCATTTCAACAGTTGTGTGCCAAAAAAGTCAGGCATCCCAGCCCTGTCTGCTTTGCCACGTACACCCTGAATTAAACTTGTACAAGCAGACCCAGAACAGGAGTTGCAGAAAAGGAAGGAGAGCAACTTGCCATTTTATGTGACAGACTGAAAGCTGTTTAAATGCAGAAATTATATTGTTACAATTGCATGGGTCACCTAACACAAATACTTCTTGATTCTCTCTGAATGCCCTTAATACTCATTTAGCTTGTGATTTCTCTTTATATGAATTAAGTTATTCAATGTACAGCAAAGAAGGGGTAAGTAAACATGAAGGCTTTACTGATTTTTGACAAATATGAGTTAAAAAATACAACTTCCTCAAACAAGTCTGATTCAAGATGCTATTAACTAATTCTCAGTTTCTTCCTCATGAAGTATAGATGATTTTCAGTTTGAAAACCTGAAAAACTGAAGTATTCACATTAGAAGCACTATTTTTGCTAAGGTCCAGAAGTTCAGCATTTTGTCATGCTAAAACCAGGAACTTGTTGACGAGCAGGCTTCCATCTCAGCTGTGGACAACTAATTATGCTCAGTTTTAACTTTGGCAGCTCAGAGGCTCATGATACGAGTCTGGTATTTTTTGGACAGTCTTTCCGGTCATAACGAGACCCATGTTATCTTGCATTAATAAATCTGTAGCCGTGTACTTGAAAAGATAAATCTTCACACACTGCACCACTAAACTGAAGAAAAATTACACTCAAATTAAATGTTCTTAAGTACACTTCCTGAGCAGAGTGACTCCATTTTTAAGCAGAAGCTCTGTGACTACTTTTTTGAGTTTCAACAACTTCCTATCAGATGGATATTTTAAAAAAACTCTACAAAAATTAAGACTTACAGGATCTGGCCCTAAGAAGAATTACTTTTCAGAAATACTCTCTCAGCAAACCCTTCTAACCACTGAAAACAAAAATGAAACCATTAAAAAACGCACAGAGAAATACCATCAGAAGGAGACAGCACATGAAACAGAGATCATCTGCAAGCTCACCTATCCTTGTAGTTTATCACAGTATCAATGATTGCATTCATTTGTTTTGTCAGTTTGGGTGGGTTGGGTGACAACTTCTCTGCAGGAGGTCTCCCTCTTCTTTTCTTTGCTTTCTCTCCCTCCTCCTTTCCAGAATCTTTGTCCACATTTCTTCGTCTCTTCCTTTTTTTAAGCCGGACTTCCTCTTCCATTTCTTCCAAGTTGCCGTCTTCAATTGCCTGACAAACATGGATTCAAAAAGTATGATTTTTAAACAAAAGAGATATTACAAAGGGAAATAACAATCTCTATTAAAAACAAAACCCCAACTCCACAGGATGCAGATAATTCAATTAAAAATATTCAGCTTATTTCTAAACAAGAGAGCTTGTTTACATACAAGAGTACAAGAAGAAACTGAGTTACTGGCAATCAAAGAGACACTAAATATTAAATTGTTCTGAGAAGTCCATTATCATCTAAATATATGCATGTGTATCTGAACCTTGAATTCCACACCAAATCAGTTTCACACACAATAACAGCCTGTGGTACTATGTCAGTAAATGTACAACAAACATTCATTTGTTCATGTCAGTGGCAGTTCTGGCTTATGTCGTTCCATGCAAAACAGACTTTGATCTCACATGTTTTCTAACAGGACAGTCTAAACAGCACTCAGCTCCCAAAGGCAGATCACACACAGTTCTTTGTGCACACAAACAACACACAGATACTTCATGCAGTAACGACTCCTCTTTTCCGAATAGTTTAAGCAACTTCCCGATTGTCATGAGGGTTAAAACCATTTCTAAAATGGTATAGTAACCAGCATAGTAACCAACAGATAGGCAGAAGCACTGACAGTACAGTGTTTTACTATAAAAAGCACTCATAACATGGGCTGCAAAAAAAAAAAAAAAAAGAAAAGCAAACAGAAAACAAAACTGCACACAGAGTCACAAACAATGGACACTCATTTCAATTACCTGAATGTATGCTTTTAACCAGACCCAGCAGCACTATGCAGAGGGATAAAAAAAAATTGCTACAAAAAGCCAAACTACAAATAAAGGGAACCTGCTCACACACTACAAGATCTATGTGAAAAAGCAAGAAGCTGAACTTTTCTTGATTTGGGCTAGCCAATAAAAGACAATAAACAGAAATACTGGGTCATAAGAGAACTGAAATTAAAGATACAAAAGTAAGGAAAAAATCTTAAAACTAGGCTTTCTGATTAATGCTTTCTCAGAACATAACCGATGTTGATATTTGTCCCTTTTGCCTCTCAATATTGCCTTGAGTACATGCAAATGCTAATCAATCCTTTCTCGTAGCTGAAAGAGCTCTAATCATAAGCAATTACCTTCATTTCTCCACAGCACTAAACATGGCTAATATTTATGATCATGTGAGCATAACAATCAATATAAAAAGAGTGATTACAGCCCAGACATAATTTTTCTCAATTGTGCACAATGTCTCTTGAAAAAAACGTTTTGTGAACAAAACCTCGTGCACAACACAAAACAACCTGGCATGTTAAAACCAGTGGGATTTATAAATCGGTTTCCTATGCATCCTCCAACGTGCAAATCCACAGAATAAACACGAACACAGAATCCTGAGGGACAGCCTGAAACTAGGCCTTAATAATCAAAAGACAATTTACATCATGCTTCTACATCGTTCAGTTAACCACTATGAAGGAAGCTTGAGATCTGATGAGTTAGGAAGAAAAAAAGGAAAAAGAGAAATCTGCACACAAATTCATTAATATTAATTTGAATAAAGCTGGACACCCACTACAAACCACTGCAGCTAAAGATTAAGAAAAGGAAATTTCTCTGCATCATCTTAGAAGCAAGAAAAGCTAATAATAAATACAGCAAGGCTGTCAATTAATGTCACTGCTCCCCTTTAGTACTCAGTTGTACACTGAAATACAGAGAACACTGACTTCTGATGTGTTACACACCTACGCATGCCTGTGATGTAGTTCTACTGAATCTTCAGGACGGCAATGAAAAAGGATATTTACCTTACCACTATCAGCAGGCCGACTATCGGAAATCACAGTTAGTGGGGATAAAATTAACAAGCCAGCAAAGCAGCGAGCTGCTAGTCTCTTCATCAGCTGATCAGGAAAAAAAAGAGAGCTGGGGAAAGGCTATGTTTTCATATACAAGTAATTTTATTTTACTGAAAATTTAATACTGAAAAGATTGTGGATACTCAAATCTGCTGTTTCATTCTACCTACTACAAGGCCCGAAGCCTTCCTCCTTCAGCCTGCTTCAATATTGACAACTACTTATCATATTTCTCCCCTTATTATTCTAGGCATCCAAATTAGATTTTTAGCTGGGCAGTAACTGGTTCTTGTTAGCATTTTAACAGCACGATTAGACAATTCCTTGTACTATTTTAAAGCTGAAATAAATTGCATGCATTTTAAAAATGCATTTATTACAGAAAATGTATTCTTATTGCTCCACAGTGAACAGATCCTGTTTTGCTTACTAACACTGATAAAAAATCCACTCTGATTTGTGAGAAATTAAGAAGAAAAAAAAAAACAAAAAGCCCCACACCACCCACACCCTCTCCCCAAAAAAAAGCCAAAAAAACCAAAAACCAAATTAACCTATTGTTTTGAAACTTCAGTAACATTTTGCGGTCCTTCACAGAAAACTGCTACTCACTTGACTAAAATATATTTGTATTTTTGTTTGCTTGACAAAAACCAAAAGTGGTGCTGCCCTGAAAGTTTACTAACATCTTATTTTAGAATTCTGCATAAAATCCTTGTTTGCATTCAGTAATATTTTGGAAAAAAACCCTGAGGACTAAAAAGATAAAAGTAAAAATTCTTTTTGTTTGTTTTTTAAAATATCACATATAGCAATATAGTAAAGAAAAAAAAAACCCACCCTAAAATCCAAGTAAAGTAACATATATTCTCTTGCACACTCAAAATTAGCGACTAGCAGATAGCAAATTAATTCTTAACATACTACAGATCTGCAAACCAATACTTAACTGTCTACTTAGCTAGTAATGTATCAGTTACTATACCCAGCTTTCAAAATTTACATCCATGAATGTAAAGTCAGTTTTCCTCAATTTTTTAGTGACACCACTTGAAAATCAGTGTGACAATACCAGCAGTCCAAAACTCTTGTTATTGTGGCTCCTAACATTAGTTCTCAAGTGCAAATTAATATTTTGCATATAAACAGTAATATTTAAAACTAAACCTGTATGATTTATGCTTCCTTAAAATATGGCTTAAAATGGCTTAAAAAAAACTCGCATAAATCAATTATCAGAAGATAAATTAATGCTCAGTGCCTTTGTCTAGAGATATGATCCATGCATGTGTGTATTAGCAATAAAGTATTTACTAAACTAATTCATCTGACTGAGCTCTTTGTTAGAAAAGCTTACTATTCTAGGCTGAAGTGCCACACCGAAAAGAATGCCCTTCCAAACCTTCACCAGTACGATAATGATACAAATCCCAGAAACAAATCTCTCAGTTCCAGATGATGGGCTGTGCAAGACTGCCAGATAGCACAGACATCTCCCATGCTCAAATGCCTCTGGATTAGTGAGGTGAACAGTAAGGGAGTCAAGGAAAACAGTACACAAATAAAAATTTAACACTTTCCTTCCCTTAAGGAAACAGGACACGAGTACAATAAATTTTGGAGACTACTTTTTTTGAAAGAAAGCTCTGAAAATTTAATATCAAATTCTGCAGAGGGTTGGGAACCTCATGAAAGACAGAGATGCCAGTGAAGGTGTGAGGACCCAGTGTTAAGCCCAGTACTGACAAAATGTTCCTGCTTTTCTGAATTTATTGCTGCATCCTGGTCCACGTACAAAAAGCAGTTTCCTTGCTAAAGAGTTAAGAGCACAAGAATTTTTAAGAAAGAACATAATGACCACAGATTAAAGAGACAAACTGCCTTCCTCAAAAAAGAAGTGCCCCCCCCCCCCCCCCCAATCCAAAAGTGGATTTTTTTTAGAAGGCAATTCTTAAGTTACTTCTGAGACCGCTGGCCTTCCTATGGCTGCTTGCAACTACATTTTCCTCTTCAGAAAGAAAATTAGGTGTTTTGAGGTAGAAGTAGGGAACACGGATATGGCTACACCACCACCATAGAAAGAAAGCAAAGATCAAATGGAAGCTGTTTTGTTTCCCCATTTGAAGAGTGGGACATTATAGATGTATTCTTCACTTCCTGGGAGCATGACACAGCACCATAACTGAGCACCTTTTCAGTACAGAATTAGGGACCTAAGTAACTACTAAAAGCTATACCTCTGGGTTTTGTATCATGAGTTCAACAGTTGTTAGTTTTATATTAGTTTTGAATTCATCTTACAAGAATCAGGCGATCCAAGTGTGGTCAACACGGTGAATCAATGGGGGTGCTCAGCATAAAATCAGTTTTGGTGTCTAAAGCCTGTCTCTAAGATTGCAATGAGACAACACTGTAAAACAGTTGTTTTGATTGAAGATTAACTACAGTATTGTTATAAGAGGAAGTTAAGGCATAGCAAAAGCTATTAATACAACTTATAGTCAAAGAAAGAGTACCCACAAAATAAAAGTGGAACCATGTAGTAAGTCTTCCTCATAATGCTGAAAGTATGTTCAGGTTAAATGGGAAACAAACAGAACACAAGATCTCTTCCTGTATCCCTCCCTGATTTTATCTTAATGAAATGAACATTAAGATGGTTTGGCCCCTTCCCTCCAGATATCAGTGCCCCATATACAGGATTAAAGCTTTTATCCTCAGTGCTTCCCTTCTGAGAAACCAACCTAACCTAGGAGCAGCAGAAAGAGGCAGTGGAGGGATGAGGGGCTGCGTGGTAGAGAATCCAAACAAATTCTGTGCCAGAAACTATCGATTTCAACCTCTTATTCTTTCTCACTCAACTGTTCTGTTGTTGTGGGCTGTGTTCATTTTATTCCTGAATCTTCCCACCTTCTTTTTAGATGGCTAGACTACCCACTGAACAACTCTTGTCACGTGGAGTAATAGCCTGTTTCTAAACACACCGAAAAAACTCCCTCATTCAAGACCAGAGGAGAATATACTGTGGACTTCTGAAATACTGCGCATGAAAGTTGCCAGATGATAAACAAATATATTCTGACATGAACATTATAACAGCATATATACCTATATTTCATATACCTGAAATAGATGGTATCCTCC